TAAATTAAATACGTTGTGTTTTCGTAGAGCTACAAATATTCTCTTTTGTGAAGCAAACTTCTTGATTCGCGAGTTTGCAAGCAGAAGGAAAAGAGTTGCCAACAAAAGGAGTTTGAGTAAAAAAGGACAGCTAGTCTAAAGGTACAGCACAAGCGAAGTTGGATGCGACAGTTATAGTTTTCTTCACACTCTAACAAAGGAGCAAGAGCTTATCGAAATACTTCGGCACTACTCTTATGCCATTCAGTCTATGGTGAGTTGAAACCGATGTTTTCTTGAAGAGTCCTGATTTGTTCTTCGTTTCATACCAAATATCTTTACGACTTCACACAATTTGCTCGTTCAGAAGGCAAAGAACGGCTATTCGCGAGTGTAGTTTTCGCGGAAAGCTTCAAGGCTTGTGATTGGATAGCTAGTGAAAGATAGAGAGTTCGAATATCGTTTCGTCGGGCACATTTCCGGGAGTTTTAAAAGAATGAGTTGATACCATATTGTCTATTTCAGCTCAACACTTGCTTCAGTCTGGGACAAAATACTCGATATTGGATAAACACTTCCTTCTGACCAGTCTTTATTTTAGTAATGCTATCTGAAAGAATTTTGTGAGAGCATCTGGTCAGAAATTCTTTCTCACTAACCTGTTGGAAACGATTGGGAACTGTGTAAGTTAAAACATTTAAATGAGCAGAGATTTCAACTTAGTGAAGGTCTGTTGCACAAGGGCTTACAGCCAAAAGCTCTCTTCCATAGTCAGCACTGACAAAGTCACTTTTCAAAGTTCTCACGAGTCAAGTTGAATATATGGAGCTTTGAAGTTGACCTGCGAAGTGAAAATAGAATACCTAAATTTATGTCCGTTTGGCCTTTCCAAACATTACTTCTTTTGGCCGTTTCAAAGTTACGCTACGGTGTTTACGAAACGAAGAATAGAGTTGCCAAGCAGTGTACAGAACACCGCATATCCTTTAGGTCCCATTCTCTTGAGTTTCACAAAACAACTTTCAGTTATGGGAATGGTTTCTACCTTGTTCCTTAGTTGTTCTTCCGATAAATTTCGCCGTATTTACTAGTAAGGATAAGACTTAAGAAACATATATAGGCACTCCACCTGTATAGTCAAAAATGATTTCAAGTCTTGCGGTGGATAACTTGGAAATAGGATTTGTTTAACAGATGTCCTCCTATAAAGATTTCTGAAACTCAATGTGCATTTCACTCGATGCAGTTTATGATACAATAGTGCATTTTACGCATAAAATTCGTTGTCAAAAAGCATCTTCTTGTTTCAGTACGATCGCGTCACATCTTCCTTCTACAACACAGCCTAAATGCCGCTATTCAAGTAGAATCCTTAGATATTGAAAGAATGTGCAATAATCTTTAGAACTACTTTCATTTTCAAGGGGACTTTTGTAGTCACTTTATTGAAGGTGGTTGGGTTCAGCAAATAACCAACTTCATCAATGAATAAAGATAGGTACTTTTTGTTGATGGCAGGCAATAGCTTACTTAACCATTCAAAGGGACCCAATAGAATAAGAGGATGCACTTCAGACAATAACTCCCTACAGTTTGGAAATTTGCAAAGAGCAGTTTCGCAAATGCAATCACGCACAGCACAGTCAAAGTCTGCTGCTTTTCGAGATAGGCCTGAAAGGTTTACATAAATATAAAAGGACTCGTTGTACACTGGATTTAACCCTTCCTCTCGAGTAGCAGCCAGGAAAAAGTTGGTCTTTGCATTTTATAGAAATATATTCCATATTTAGCATACGAAAATCTTGGAATCTTACACCCAAGGTTGTCTTCCCCGAGCCATACAAATGACCGGCAAAAGAAGCTACGGGATGGTTGAAGTACCTTCCATAGGTTCACTCTTATCATATGACTAAGAAAATGCTAGCCAAACCTGTAAAACTGCTTCCTGAAGATTCACTAAAAAGAATATATGTCGAAACGCTCGCAATATGGAGACCATCACTGCGCCGAAAAGAAGAAAGATGACCAAGTAACTGCATCAAGTTCTCATGTCGAACAAGACTTTGTTTCACCACTCGACGACGTTACTGCCTTTCATTCAATAAAGTGCTGTATGATTGTTGTGGAATGACAATACTTCAAGTTTGGATATTACTTCCTTTAAATAGCTAGAAAAAGATCCTATTGCAACCACGAAGTTGTCCGTTGAACTGCAGTGCAATATGA